ATCTTTGTTCCCAGTGCATTGTGGCTGGAATGCTTCATGCTCCGACCCTGCTGCCAGAGGCGGTGATCAGAAACAGCAACTACCGTCTGCCACGCCACCAATACCACTTCACAAAGGTGAGCAAGGTGCTGTCTCAGCAATTCATTGTCACCGAGGAGCCTTCCACAACCTCTCGTGCCAGCGGAGACTGTGTGATACTCTCTTTGACCAGGAACACTGTAACGTGGAATGAAATATCATCGGAGATATGATGAGAGGAGATAAACGTGCAAGCATCTAATTCCCTGGAAACAGTTTGCGTGGTCCAGTGGGAAAATTGTCTGTTCAGTGCCACGAGCATATGTTGGAGTGTATTCACAAATACAGTGACCTCTCAAACATTTTTTAAAAAAGAAAATTATTTTCTTCCCTCCCCTGTTTTAGCGTAACTGCAATGAAAAAATGACATTTACACTGTTCACATTCATACACCACATATTAGAATATCAGACTCTCGCCATTCACTTTGAGAACATGTCTCTCTTCATTACCGAAAGATACTGTTAGCTACTGGGTGTTTCTTTGCCCCTGACGTGATATCGATGTCGCTGGCTGACATAGTGTTTGTAGCCCATCCCTAATTCCATTGAAGGAGATGGTGGTGAACTGCCTTTACAAACGGCTGTATCAGTTGTCGTAGAGTGAGACACAGGAATCCTTTGAGGAGGGGAAGATAGAATACTGACCCAGTTACACAGAAGGAAGTGCAATATATTTTCAAGTCGGAATGTTGATTGACTTGGAGAAGAGCTTTCCTGTAACGATGTTCCAATTTATCCACTTGTCCTTCCAGATCGAAATGTTTATTGATTTGGAAGATAATGCCAATTTTATTTTCTTTTCTGATCTCACAACGCTCAATAATAAAAGGCAGCTTTTAGAAATGCCGAAATAATTCTGTTTCGAACTGCGAATGTGAAAAGATCACATGACAGTTACTTCTAAATTATTGCTAATTATTACAGATTAAATTAATAATCTAAATTATTGCTCACCTGGAATGATTGCATTCAGCCTGAGGATAAACAATGTTAATTGCACCTCCATTTTCATGTCCTTTTGACAGGAGTACAACGCCAAAGTAAACAGACCAGAGCAGAAGCGCTGTTGTTGTACGTTCACCAACAAATTTCCAAATGGCAACGAACTGTGCCTCTCATTGTTTCCATCCTGCATATAGGTGTTAACGTCTCTATCTCTCTCTCTCTCTGTAAGTGTGTGTGTGTGTGTGTGCGTTTGCGTTTCAGTGTGTTTTTGTCTTTGAATGTTTATGTATGTGTATCTGTGTTGTTATGGATCAAACCAGATCCTCCAAAATATTTTAAGAAGGTAGCCTGGACATTAATATTTTCTTATATTAAAAATCGATTGGAAGTGCCTTGTTCCAGTTGTGATGCGACTGGTCAAACTGCTCGACGTTATGCAAAACACAATTTATTTAAAACCTACAGTTAAATTTTAAACGGTAGAAAGAGAATTTAGATTACCTTAAAATCGGTAAACATAACGAATAAATGATACAGTGTCTATTGTTCTAGTATAATAGCGTCCCATAAGGGCAACCATTGGGAAAAATGCAAATTCAGGCACAGATTCTTACATGCTGTTCTCCAAACCAGGAGGAGAAAACGTCAACAGATAGTTCAGGAAGTGTAGCAAACAAGAGACATTCACTGAAGCTACCAACTCTTCTGAGACGCCAAAAAGCTTATGACGTTACTGCGAAAATAAAAGCAAAATCCAGAAATATGGATCTGTGAGAGCTGGCCACACTCATTCAGGCTGCTTCTATTGTTCATTTATGTCTTCTTCAAGTTGGCAGTTCGGAGATGCTGCCTTTCAAACTCTCCACCAAAAAAATACAGAACCAAGCAGCCGTTTACAATGATAGTATCGTCTCATTACTGCGTAAAGGTGCCTGACGTTCCAGCGTAACAATGATATGATTAGTAATGCTCCGGTACTCTACATTGCATTAATCTCCCTCTCCTCTGTTAGTTTCACTACATGTGTGTCGTGTGTGCGAAAGTGTGAATATTCAACGTAAGAGTGAAATTATCAGTTCGGCTCCATGCTGTAATTTACATCAAGCTCCCTCTCCTGCTGTCAACCATCTTGCATTTATAGATGTCCCCTGTCGGTCTCCCGAAGTATCACTCAGAGCTGTCCTTTTCCCCCTCTCTGGGCGTGTCTCTATCTCTAGTCTGAGTTTCATCTTCATTTTATGCGTCTTCTGGATTCTCGTGGTATCAGTGAACTCAGCCTTATTTTGATTGGAGAAACAATGGTGGAACCAAAAATAAAACAATTACATGATGGTATTTCAACATTTTTCATCTAAATTTATCGAGCATTTTTTCCAGCAGCATTTTCACTGCAGTTACTTTCACTATCGATTAAATATTGCTGTCTTGGTTTAACCAACATGGTGTGTAAGAGGTCCCGAGTATTCGCTTTTTGGTTCGTGTATCTATTGGAAGTATAACAGATACACTTAAGGCTCTGGCCTGCTTTGCACTACAAAGTGGAGAATAGTTTCTTATTTCGGTGTTTTCCTTCTGTCAACAGGACATGAAGCTAAAAATGCGATTAACACTGATTATCCTCATTGCCCTGAATTAAAAGAAATGCGGTTTGATACATTTGAGATTCCTTGCGGCCATTGATATACAGAGGTAGTGTCCGCCCGCTGGGTCAAATGGATCCGGTTTCTCGATTGAACTTCCCTAAAGATATGGATAAAATCTCTTAACTTTTCATTTAGAACTTGGGTACATCCTAACGCCTCACCAATAATGTTTCATGTAATATTTTCAAATTGAAGGTGGGTGCTTCACGATATCCTGTTTCGCTTAGTTATTGATTCTCCTCTTAAAGGTTGCAGTAGTTGAGGTGGTGAGCGTGTCGTTATAGCTCCTGTCTCACCGGGGTTTCTGTAAGGCTGTTCATTGTGTTGTATCACGATGATGATAATAGTGCAGAAGTAGATGGCCTTTCCACCCTCTTGATGTTGCTGATGGGGTGCTTGGGGAACAACTTAGCAAATAAATGTGGAGGAAATGCAGTTCAAATTCCTTTACCAAATCGTCGTTTAAACTGAGCCCAGCCTGACACTTTACAATTGATGTCTGTTTTACCTATTAGTTCTGAATCATGGAGTGTCTGTAACTCAGGCACTCTCCTCTATTGTTCACAAAACTGACTCTTGAATCCTCCAGATAATACAAGCCCGGTACATGGTCTTTCCATGTCGGCTTCAGATATAAACATATTTACCATTTAGATTGTTTGATAAATTAGACCAGATTCTGTCCCATTTGAGAGAAGAAATGTCGACTAATTTCTGTCCTAAATTTGTCACTCCTTATTCTGCGATTTTGCCTGTCACTCCTCGAATATCTCAAAGGGTGAAACAACTTTTCCGTGTCTACTCAGTCGACGTTGCATTGCACACCTCTTGAGAACGTGTTTGTTGAAAATGTGCCTCTTTACTCTAAAGAAGGACACTACCATATCGTTACAAATTCTCCACACGCAGCGAGCTCGCGTTCTGACGATATTCTGATATTGATAAACACAAGGCATGCTTGCTCACAATCATTTTGCTGCCGCCCTCAGCAAAGGAACAACGCAAACTAATTTTATGTTACGTTAACGGTATTCGAATATCCAGCTGACATTCATAAATTCGATGGCGATATTCTCATATTTCTTTTGCCCTTTCACTGTTTTTCTTCATTTCCTGTCATTCTGAAAAGTCGTTTCCACATCTTCTGTGTCAGTTTCCTGAATTAATAATCTACAGTTTGTGAAGAGAGTAACTTTATCAATGTGAGTTTCTGTATCAGGGATGGTTTGTACACAATGCACAGTTCTCACAATGTAATGAGGCTGATTCTTAAAACAGACGCAAAGTGACGTTCTCTTTTGTGGCAGGTTGTACTTCAGATGTCTGCGGAATGCTGCGAAACCTGCTCAGTTGCTTGATTTGTTCATTATAATTAACAAACCATACATTTATCTCCACTCGTAACTCTAAAACGTGTACCTATTCCTATTCGAATCCCACTAATGTCGGACATAATTAATTTGTGTTTGTCCATGACTTGACGCCTGCAAAGAAATGAGTTGAGTAAACATTCTTTGTGCTAATCAACATCAGCAAAATTTATCGGTTTCCAAACGAGCTGAGTGAAGGGATCTTGTGGCGTTGTGGTAGTGTTCATATTTGTATCAGGAAGCTCACATTGAAGTATTACATAATCCAGAGGTGTGTCATGAAATATTGACAGACTGATGCAGAAAAATTGTTTCCACCCGTAGGTAAAACTACGAGCAGATGACATAATATCCGAATAAGAAGTCAGACCTTTATAATCGAGATGAGGAGACATTTCTTGTCTGAGAGTGAAAGTAATCTGTGGAATTATTTATAACAAAGTTTTCGTGTTAAATATTTTCAAGTCTGAGTTAGACATGGAACAAACATATAGCCTGGTCTTGTAGCTTCTGGAGGTTGCAACAGTCTCACGCGTTAGAACTGAAACATAAGATTCTGAGAGAACTTGATCAGAGAATCTGTCATCCATGCGCTGGTCACGTCTGTCTTCTCCACACTGATCGTCTTTGCAATCCCCACATTTACCCCTTTGCAAACTTCACAGTGGACATCTCTCTAATAGCCAAACTGCCCTTCCTTCTCTGTGTATGTGTGCTTACGCTGCTGTCAGATTGGATTTGATGTCTGCTATTGCAGTCCCTCTGAAAGATTCCCTGGCGATTTTCTCCGTGCGATTGTAGCAACTTCAGGCCGACAACTGAGGGTGGCACTGTCTCACTTCAAATCAAGTTGAAATGCTACACAGAAAGTCATTGACTTTGTGAAAGCACTGACGAACAGATCCTATCACTCAGAGAGATGAACGTTCATGCACAGAAGCACACGTGCGCACACAATCTTGTGCATTCACATTTACTGCTCGAACTGAAGATCGGGACTTGCAAAATTTTTCAGACATACAGTGGTTCCTGCCATACGAGGCCTCTGTGTTCAGCGAGTCAGAAAGAACCCACAGAGGGGAAGAAGGAAGGTGAGACTAAGCTCATAAAAGAAAGCTGAGAGGGACGAGCAGAGAGTGAGATAGATAATCTTGAGCCTCAGAACAGAGAAACAGCGAAGGACGAGCAGAATAAAGGAGAATTTAGTGAAAGTCATAATGGAGATAACACTGGATAAGGCTGAGTTTGGATCCTCTAATGTAGAATGTGGAATTTGAGGGTTTGTAATTTGAGAGGACGCAGTTCTGGTTGAAATCAAAGGGGTGGCGTCAGCTGTTTACCTGCATTCCCACAAACTGGTTAAAAAGAAAAATTGGCGTCAACTGGATATTTGGTCAGTGAAGAGGATAAAGGAGTCTTCAGGGTAAACGCTTAAGTGATTTTTGAGAATTTCTTATCATGAATGCAAGTTAATCTTTCAGAGTTCTCGATGCTCCATTTTAAGTACAGTGACTGTAACCAACGAGGGATGTGTCAATTCATTCACAGTCTGCTGTCTTCTTCCCGCCCACATAGCATCAACGCCCACACAACGCAGTGAGGTGGGAACGTCCAGTGACACGACAATTTTTTAACTGCGGGCGGGGTTATAGAATCAGTGTCTTCAAATATACGAGTGCCCTATTTCACACAGGACAGCGACAATGCGGCTTCTCTGCACCTCGGTTCTGTGGGTAGCAATTCTATCAGGTAACTGTGAACATTCCACGTTTCTTCGTCAAGTCATAGGTGAAACTGACCCCAGCCTTAAGTTTCCAATTGATTTCTGTTTTTCATTTCAGCTCTGAGTCATGGAGATTCTGTCACTCAGTCATTCTCCTCAGAAGTTCGGACAGAAGGATACGGTGTTACTCTAAGTTGTACCTATGAAACTACAGCGAACTACTATGTACTATTCTGGTACCGACAGCAACCAGACACACAGCCTGATTTTATTCTGTTCAAAGATACTCGTGGTTCTAATGATAAAGCAAATTTTGCACAAGATCGTTTCTCTATGGAACTTCAGACCTCGAAGAAATTCACAAGTTTGACTATCACTGGGCTGCAGCTGACTGACACTGCCGTGTACTACTGCGGGTTCAGGAATGACACAGTGAAGAGAAAGAGTCGCACCGCTGTACAAAAACATCCGTGAATCATAGATGGGCTCTCTATGGGAGTTTGGGTAAATCCAGTGTTATTGTCATGTACTGTTAGAAATTTAAAATCGCACCGATAGGAATCTAAGTTAACCACGATTCAAACTGTCACCCAACTGTTTCACGGAGCAGCTGAGAATATAAACTAAAGAGTCCGAGCACTCACACGAACCAGAACAAAGTCATATTTGAAAACTACCTTTCAAATCCCCACTAACAACAATTTTCTGTCGTCTTATCTGCACATAGTTAGCTTGGACAGAGCTGTACATTTACAAGATTCACATAGCTTCCACACATGCCAGGGAGTATTAAGCACATAGGAGACACGATTACAGTGTATTCATGGCGGGCTCTCAGAGTGGCTGGTTTGATTTTATTGAGAGAATAGTGCATCAACACTCCCATCATCGATGTCATCACATAGAACTAATGTTGAGAGGTTGAAGAGCATCAAGTCACTTGGAGTGACGACAACCAACATGTGTCCTCGACATTGCACGGAGATGGAACAGACAAGAAGGCACAACAACACCTCTTCTTCCTCAGGCGACTCGATTGAAATGTTGCATGCCCATGAGGTCCCTCAACAACTTCGACAGATGTATCATTGAAAGTATACCGCCCTGGAGCTTAACAACCTGGAATTGCAAGTTTCCATCATGGAATCCATTTCGCTGGTCTCTGCCGCACAAGGTCTACCATCATTATCAAAGACTGATTGAAATCCGGTAATGATCGTCTACAATCTGTTCAATCAGGCAGAAGTTGATCAGCTTCAGGAATAGCTTCTTCCTGGCGTTATCAGACGGATAAATGAACTCTCTGAACTCAACTAATGATGGTGTGCCTCATCTGGCTCTCGCCTCTTGCGCATCCTGTCAAATAAAACCTGTATGCCTCTGTCTACCTATTTTTGATGTGTTCACCATTTGCTTACTGTAATCTGCTTTTACGGCTCGTAAACAAAGCTTTTCACATTAGTTTAGTACACATGACAATACAATAAACAGAATAAATTTATCTGCTGACAGCACAACATAACACTCTTCTATCTGTGTGTGCATGTATGTGTGTTTTTGTGCATTTCTGAATTTGACTATGAGTATAGAAATGCATGTGAATATCTGTTATTGCACAAGAGCAAGGGCAAGCCAATCACAGGGAGGACAACAGCATCCAACACCATTCATACTGAAAGCATTAACAAATCTAAGATAGCAGGAACGGCAGATACTGGAGAATCTGAGATAACAAGGTGCAGAGCTGAAAGAACACTGCAGGCCAAGCAGCATCAGAGGAGCAGGAAGGCTGACCTTTTGGGCCGAGACCCATCTTCAGAAAATTCTCTGAAGAAGGGTCTAGGCCCGAAACGTCAGCCTTCCTGCTCCTCTGATTCTGCTTGGCCTGCTGCGTTCATCCAGCTCTACACCTTGTTATAACAAATCTAAAACATGGACAGTCTGCAGCCTTTACTCCGCTCAGCTCATATGTCCAGCTGACATTCACAAATTCACTGGCCGTTTTGTAATGGTTCCTGTGTCCTTTACTTTTCTTCGTTCATCCACGTGTCATTCAGAACAGCGCCTTCCACATCTCCCATGTCAGTTCCCAAGTGAAACAACGCACTGTTAGATAAAATGGTAATTGCTCTGTGTTCGGCTCTGAATCAGCAATGGTTTGTACACACGGGACAGATTTTGAAAATGTAACGAGCCTGATCCTTAAAGCAATCACAAAGTCCGATTCCCCTCAATGGTGGCTTTTACTTCAGTTGTTATCCGAATGCTGGAATACTTGCTTAATTTCTTGGTTTGTTCATTGCAATTAACAGACCAGACGTTCATTTCCACTCCTAAATTCCAAAGTGTAATGAAGCATGCTTTGTGTTTATTATCATCAGAATACTGTCAGAATATAAGCGAGTGATGTGGATGGTTCTTGTGATGTTGTTTTAGTGTCTCTAACTTTGATTGCTGGAGCAGATCTTCAAGTCTCAATGTTGCAAAGATACGTGATGGAAAGATGATGGGGAAGAAGACACGTAGAAGCAATCTCAGACTAAAGAGTAAAACATCCAAGAAAGAGATGAGGAAGTATTTCTTCTCTGAGAGGGAAAGGATCTTTTGGAAAATTTTACAGAGTCTGGGTGCTAATTATATTCAAGTGAAAGATAGGCGTAGTAAAACTAGATATCTTTGGTTTCTATCGGGCGTTTACATGAGACAGACGAGATTGAATTGAAACATATAAGGTCCTGAGTGGCCTTCATTAGCTGCCTCTTTACAAATATAATTCAAACGATGAGATTGTATGTGCTCTCCACACTGACCCTCTGTCTAATTGCCGTACAGAACACGCTGGAATCTTCACAGTGGCCGACTTTAATCCATGTACTTTTCTTGCATGTGTGTGTGTTGATGCATCTGTGAGGTCAAATGCGGCTGTTTGCTAATGATTTTCTGACTGATTCTGTGACGATTTTCACTTTGTGCAAGTGAAGTAGCTTCACAGCACCAGCTGAGGGTGGCGCTGTCTCACTTTAAACGCAAATTGAAGTGCAATTTCAACATTTTAAATAACATCAAAGCCCAAAAATATATCTCGCATTGAACAGAGAGACACGGGTGCATGCTCGCTCGAGTGGATGCACACACATACAAACACGTGCGCGCGCATGCACACACACACAGTCAGACAGACCCTGCTGGAATGGGAGATCCGTAAAGTAACAATGACATGTACAGTGAATCCTGTTGTATGAGGACTCTGCGTTCAGTATGTGAGAAAAACACCGACAGATGGGAGCAAGGAAAGTGAAACTTGCGCTCAGTGAGGAATGCTGAGCGGAACTAACAGAGGGAGAAAGTGATAATCTTGAGCCTGAGGGCCGCGATGCAGCATCAGAGAAGGAGAATAAACGAGAATCTGGTAAAAGTGATAGCAGAGATACTGTTGAGTTAATGCTGAGATTGAGTCCAGTGATATCAAACGTGAGATAGTAATTTGAGAGCGGAGTGTTTGCGGAACTGCAAGGATTGCGTGTAGGCTGGGAAAATCAGGAATGGCGGTGTTGCAAATTTAGGTGCAGCCATTAATTGGCGAAGATCAAGAACTCGCGTCAAGTTGGGATGTGGGACAGGAAAAAAGTAAAAGAGCCTTGAGAGTAAATTGTACAATGAATCTGGGGAATTACTTGTTAAGGATGGGAGTCAATCTATCAGAATTCTCTGTTCTCCATTTTAAGTACAGTGACTGTAACTCATCTCGAGATGTGTCAATTCACTGAGAGGCTGCTCTCTTCCTCCTGCCCTCAGTGTACCACCGCGTCCACAAGGAAGTGAGGTGGCAACCTGTAGTGACACGTCAGCAGTTTACTGAAGGCGTGTTTATAGACTGGGTTTCCTCAAATATTTGACAGCCGTTTTACGCCGAGGGTAGAGATAATGTGGCTACTCAGCATCTGGGGTGTTTGGGGATCAATGCTAATAGGCACTTGTGGAGGAACTACAATTCACATTCCTTTAACAATAATATTTAAAATTGATGCAAGGTAATAATTTAAAATTAACATTTGTTTTTCCTTTCAGACCTGAGTCATGGAAAGCCTGTCACTCAGTCACTTTCCTCAGATGTTCATCCAGAAGGCGAGGTGGTGACTCTAAATTGTACCAATGATACAACATTGAGCTCCTACAGGTTATATTGATACAGACAACATCCTGAATATATACTGAGGAAAAGTACGAATGGTCATGAGAATAAAGCAGAATTTGCTAAAAGTCACTTCATCGATAGACCTTCAGATCTCGAAGAAATTCAACAGTTTGACCATCACTGGGATCCTTCTGACTGACACTGCTGTGTATTACTGCGCGCTTGGGCACACAGTCTTGATAAACAGTCTATACCATGTACAAAAATTGCCTTTCGACCACAGACTGTTCTATTTGTTGAGGAAACAAAACTAATGTAGCATTAAACTACCAACCAAGTGTTTCTCGAATCTGCTGAGAAAAGAAAGTGCAGATTCTGAGCTCGCACACACGCCGTTGCAGCAATGAAGGAATGAAATGGGAGCATCTGGAAACACAGCATCAGTTCATCACAGGCGGGCTTTCACAATTGGTGTCACTGAAAATGCTGATTCGAGTGCATTGAAGGGATGCTGAATTTATCCTTTCATCATCGTTGTGATGACATAGAATTGTGGTTATCTGCTCAGAACACAAGATGGCACCAAGCTCTCTCTCCCTCCCGCACCCCGCCTCTCTCTCTCTCTCTGAAAGTGTGTGTGTGTGTGCGTGTGTGTCTGTGTGTGTGTGTGTGTGTGTGTCTGTGTGTGTGTGTGTGTGTGTATGTTTGTAAGTGAGTGAGAAAGAGAGAGAGATAACGTATGCATCAGGATGTGAAGAGTCAGTGTAACAGTTAATTTTTCAGTTCGACTTGCTGTGTACTTTGTATGCATCTCGCTTTCCTGGTATCTTTAGCCCCCTCTGTTGGCGTCTCACTGTCATTCATCTGAGTTTCAACTTCATTTGCACTTCTTTTCGTTTCCCTGTATGTCACTGAATTATATCTCAATTTGATTGGAGACTCTGTAATGGAACAAAAAATAGTTACAGGACGATTTATAAAATCTCATTTCAAAGAGATTTTTCAGCTGCTATTTCTATGCAATAACTCGCGTTACTGATTACGCTAATATTCTCTATGTTTAAATTAAGTGTTGAATAAGTGATCTTGGTTCTTTGGTTTCAGTTCCTGTGTGAATGCAAGTGCACATGCTCCATTTCCTTCGTTGGTCTGTAGTGCACTTTAAAGAGCAGAATCTTTGCCTGTTTCGAAGTTTTACTCCTGTCAACAGGACATGAAGATGGAGGTACGATTAACATTGATTATCCTCATGCTCCTGATTGGAAATCAACCAGATGAGTCACAGATCAGTAGCTGTTGTGGGTCACTGAGGATCTACTGATGTCAGTGGTAGAGTACC